TGCCAAGCAGATGCTGTACCATTGAGCCATGGGCCCTCCCCATACTCTCTCCAAGGAGATTCAGCACTTATCCATAACATTAAGGTTTTTTGTCTTTTTTTAGATGCCTATGTTTATATCTTATAACTGTCTTGTTTATAGGCTTTGAGATAACATTTTATAAATCAAGGTTTCATTGTTAGTATTAAAGCAGGCCATAAGTGATGTATGAAAATATCTGAGTTTGATAATTTGCAATGTATTTGATTGGCATAATTCAAAAAGTTATTCTTAATAAAAACATTCCCTAGTAACTTGGTCAGAAAAAAATTACATGCTACATTGAAGAGTATTAATGGTAGAATTGGTTTATAACTGCATCCCACTGGTTATTAGCAAATTTTAGTGACAATCACACTGGGAAAAGCTTTGTCACTTCCCTTAAAATATTAGATATTGACTTTCTTTTCCTTTCCTTGGCAGATCTCATTGGTACATTGCTGTAATTTGCTTCCCTTGGCTAGACGAAGTCGTTTATGAAGACTCTGTGGGTCAGTGTTCGTTGCAGTCACCCATTCACCAGTTTCCTGTTCAGCCTGAAATGAAAAGTGGAACTGTTAGAACAGAAACTGTTTTGATCTTTAATGATAACTCGAATGATAAAGAAGAAACTGATATAAATAGCAGCCTACAGCCAAATGGTAATGATTTAATAGAATATGATAAAAAATGCTGCATCGTTTTGAAATGATACTCTATACAAATTACTTAGACGTTAGTGAATGATTCTGCATGTAGCTGTAGGGTTAGGGTTGCCCACTCTGGGTTGGGATGTGTGCACCATTTGCTGTTGCCATTTTCTTCAGGGGAACTGTTCTGAAGATCAGTTGTAATTCTGTAAAAACTCCAGGCTCTTGGAGGTTGGCAATATTAGCCATTGGTTTTAGGTCTACAGACCACATACAAGGGGAAAATCAATTTACATGGTTATGACTACAGTAGAATAATTGCCAGTTTGGTGTAGTGGTTAACAGCGATGGACTTTATATCGGGAGAACTGGGTTTGATACCCCACTTCTCCACATGCCACCAGCTGGGTGGCCTTGGGTCAGTTACAAGTGCTCTCAGAGCTGTTCTCTCAAGAACAGTTCTCTCAGGTTTCTCTCAGCCCCACCTACCTCACAGGGTGTCTGGTCTGGGGAGAGGAAGGGAAAGCGATTGTAAGCCACTCTGAGACTTCTTCAGATAGTGAAAAGTGGGGTATAAAAACCAGCTCTTCTTCCTCTTAAGTTTATGTATTTGCTATAATTATGGTCTGCCTTTCTCATTGACAGTCAAGGCAAATTATTCAGTGTAAGTCAATCAATACGTTGAGACATCTAATAAGCACTGTTGTACTAGAATTAGGATTACAAAAGTCTGAAACAAGCACAGAATATTAGGCATGATACCAAATGCAGATACAATGCAGATAAATGGTGTTACATCTGTAGAAAATTATATATACACACACACACAGCAAACAGATACCTTTATAGAAATGCCCTTCTGAACAGTTCTGTTTTACATAGTTAATGGAATGCCAGGAGCCTTCCCGGCCTCCTCAGGCAGGCCAATCCTCCAAAGTGGGGGCCATAGCAGAGAACCCACGTGTACGGGTGATTGTTGATATTGCCCATTTTAAGGGTGGCACCTACAGAAGGCCCTGATCAGGTGAATGAAACTGTCATGGATGAGCATAGGAGGAGAGGCAGTACTGCAGATATGAGGATTCAAGAAGACCATGTAGAATGACTACAGAACCGGTGTAATATGCACATTCCATCTAGCTCCACAGTAACTTAGCTTCAGCATTCTATACCAGCTGGAGTCTCTGAGTTGACATCAAAGGCAGACCTTGACCCTGGAACCACAGATGGAGTTGCTAGATTCTGTGCAGCAGCCAGATTTCACTGTGGTTCCGTGCTGACTCAGTGAAATATGTTATTTTTTACACTTTGCAATGGTTTTCTGTAAATACTTTTGCTGTTGTAAATTTTATACTGCTGTTTTAGGACCGTAATAAACAACTGCTGTTACTACTACTACTACTGCTACTAAAGCGCAGTACAATAGTCTGATGTTACCATGGCATAGTTCCAAGTGGCCAAATCAGCCAAGTCAAGCTAGGGGACAATCTTCCAGGCTAGAAAATGATTAGCTCACAGTTCCCTAGAGAAGGGGTGGGAAATGGTCAGTAAAATCAGTAAAAGTCAGTTTTTTCATCTTGGTCAGTAATTTGTCAGTTTTTTTAAAAAAATGGTCAGTAAAGTCAGTATTTCTTTGATTTTTGTGAATGCAATTTGTGTTTTTCCATTTTCATTACTGCATTTTTGGGGAAACATCATGACTTCCCAGTGAGAAGACAGATTGTTTTCAGTTTAGTTATGAAGTACTTTAAGGACTTTGTTCCTAAGAGTAAAAGTTATAGAAACTTCCACAAAGTATAGAAACATAATTAACCTGTTAAAACATAAGACAATGAAAGTAGAGGTGATGGATATTGTGGGATTCAGCATGGCACAACGTATGCTAGAAGGAGTCGAGAAAGCAATGGAAGAAGAGGACAAGGGAAAAAATGCTTGTGGATGCAGTGCAGAAAACTGTTGAGAAACGAGAGTTCGTGAATAACTTTATTTATTTATTTATTTATTCAATTCAGGGGTGGCTTACAAAGAGATTAAACATATAGGTCACAAATTATATACAATCTTAAAACCAATAATAAAACTCTACATTATCATAAAGTGCTAGTAAGTGATCAGGTACTTATAAGAATGCTTACAGAAGGCAGAACCAATACTAGTGTTGTAATCAGATTGGTGGTTGGCTCATCTTGGTCTCTATATTTAGGCAACAGCACAGACTACTGGTGGTAAGCCAAGGACCAGGGCACTGTCACTTCTCAGTTATTTAATGTTATTTGGTGCGGCTCCTTAGTTGAAGGCCTGGTGGAAGAGCTTCATCTTGCCATGGCTTGCAACGCCTGGTGCAGATCTTCCGGTGTAGAGTCAGACTGGCTGCCCAACAACAAATAGAGCTGGGTGTCATCTGCATACTGGTGACATCCCAGCCCATGCCTCCAGGCAATCTGGGCAAGGGGGCGCATGTAGATGTTAAATAACAGCACCGCCCCTTGGGGCACTCCACAAATCAGTGGGTGCCTTTGGGATAACTGCTCCCCTAGCGCCACCCTTTGTCCCCAACCCTGAAGGAGGGAAGCCAGCCATTGCAAGGCAGGCCCCTGGTCTCCGGTGTTGGTGAGGCGGTGGATCAGTAACTAATGGTCTACCATGTCGAACGCCGCCGACAGGTCCAACAGCAACATCACTGCCAATCCGCCCTGATCCAGATGCCTCCGGAGGTCGTCTGTGAGGGCGACCAGTGCTGTCTCTGTCCCGTGGCCTGGACAGAAACCGGATTAGAAAGGAGTCTAGAATTGAAGTGTCATCCAAAAAGCTCTGTAGCTGAATTGCCACAGCCCTCTCAATTATTTTGCCCAAATAGGGCAGATTGGAGACTGGCAATTAGCCAATTTGGCCAGATCCAGAGATTTTTTTTGGGGGGGGACGAACCACAGCTTCCTTGAGTGCCCTAGGGAACTGTCCCTCTGAGAGGGACTTGTTGATAATCTCCCTTAGGGCATCTCGAAACCCATCATGGCCAGCTTTAATTAGCCATGATCGGCATGGGTCAAGGCAGCACCTGGTAGGGCTTACAGTTAAGAGCAATTTGTCAACTTCTTCCAGGCTGAGTGGACTGAAATAATCCATAACCTGACTAGAAGACGTGCATGGAGCCTCAAGTTCACTTACTGTCTCAACTGTGCTGGGGAGGTCATGGTGGAGCGACAGGACTTTATCTGCAAAGTAGCTCGCAAAGGCCTCACAGCCAGTGTCCAATTCCCTAACATTTGGTCTGCCTTGTGGCAGAACAGTCATAGACCGAATTATTCTAAATAATTGGACTGGGCATGAGCTCGCAGATGCAGTCGTGGCCACATAATACTCTGACTGCCATCTCATAGGATCTCATAAATGTCCTATAAGATGTTCTTGTGGCTTTGATGCAGGCACACCGTTAATGTCTCTCTAGCTATCTTAGCCTTTGCTTCATCAGCCGCAACTCCTGGATAAACCAAGGAGCCAGCCTAGAGTGAGGGCGCAGAGGGCGTCAGGGAGCGATCTCATTGATGGCTGCCGAGAGTCAGCTGTGCCAATCCTCCACAGGCTCATCTAACAAGCCGCCAGGGGGGCATCGGATCCCGCAGGGTCATTTGAAGCCACATAGGTCCATTTGGCTCCATGGGCAAGCTGAAATCTGCTTGCTGCCCAAACAGGGCTGGGGTGAAACATTCAGATGGGCCTTCAGGGCATGATGGTCCGACCATGGCACTGCTGAGGCAGTGACCCGGTCCACTGTGACCCCTGACGCGAAGATCAGATCGAACGTGTGTCCGGCCCGGTGAGTGGGAGTTGTTGTATATTGGGAGAGTCCCAGTGCCACCACGAATGACACTAGATCCATCGCCTGAGTGGAGGCCACATCGTCCCTATCTGTATGGACATTGAAATCACGCAGGACGATAGGTCTAGGGTGTTCCAATGCTCAGCCAGACACGGCCTCCACCAGGGATGGCAGGCTGCTGGCCGGTTCTTTTTTCATCAAAAAACCAAAGATAAAGTACAAGCAAAGACAAGTCTTACCTTACAGTAATTATGTTTGGTTGTCATATTTATTACTTTGGTTTTTAATATGTTTTTGCTGTTTTATTATCTGCAGTTATGTGATTATTCTTAAAAGGGGATCTTTTTTTGCCTTAAATTTTGTACAATAATGAAAACATTGTCTATTCATAAAAAATCAATAAAAAGGTGTGCAACCCTTTTATCTGGTCACATCTAGCTATGGGGCTGGCTATGGAGATGGTGGAGGCCAGATAATAATAATTTTTAATGAAGTCCTAGTTTTACATTTAAAACGCTAGCTTATCAGTAGGCTGACATTAAATTGTTCAGTACTTTGTCAGTTTTTGGTCAGTATTTGGTCGGGTTTTTTGGAATTTTGTTCAGTAAAATCAGTATTTTTGACCCTTGGACTAGTTTCCACCCCTGCTAGAGACAATCTTTATTTCTCCCAAGTCTCAGCATCCATTTATTTGCTGAATTACATTTCATATGGACATACCAATTGTGTCTGATCAATTGCATTAACTCTAGTACTAGCTTGGAAAATTAGTTCTTTTAAGTGCTTGGGGTTACTTTAGAGGTAACAAAGGTGAAAAGAGGTAACAAAGGTGTTGTGTGTTTAGTAATTCTTTCAGTGTGTATCTTGCACTAGATTATAGAAATTGAAGAGACCTAAGAAATTTTACACCATACACCACAACTTTCATTACCCCCATGGGCAAGTTGTGATTTTGGTCTAATATTTGGTTGTTTTTTTAATTTTGTGAACAGAACCTTCACGTGCATCTCCATTTTTTCATCTAAAAGGGAAATGGGGATAGTGTTATGCCATTATAGCTCAATCCTGTTTTAAAATATATGCAAAAGAAATGTAATATTTTATTCATTTATTTTATGCTTTTCACTACTCAAGTCCATCCCTTCTTCAGTTACAGTAAAAAAACCAAAATTCTTGTCCGTAACCCAGTTTTGTTTGTTGCATAATGTTAGATAATGGTCAACATCAAAGGCTGTCTCCAACTTTGGATTCCAGAAGTTCCCAAGTAAGTGGCTGTTATGTCTTGTTGTTCAGTTGCACAGTCGAGTCCGACTCTTCGCGATCCCATGGACCACATCGCGCCAGGCCCTCCTGTCTTCCGTAGTTCTCCGGAGTTTGCTTAATTTCATGTTTGTTGCCTCAATAACACTGTCTAACCATCTCATCCTTCACCGTCCCCTTCTTCTTTGACCTTCAATCTTTCCCAGCATCAGGGTCTTCTCCAGTGAGTGCTCCCTTCTCATTTGGTGGCCAAAGTATTTGAGCTTCAGCTTCCGTATCTGGCCTTCCAGGGAACAGTCAGGGTTGATTTCTTTTAGGAATGACTGAATTGATCTCCTTGCAGTCCAGGGGACTCTCAAGAGTCTTCTCCAGCACCATAATTCAAAATAATCTGTTATTCGGCGCTCGGCCTTCCTTATAGTCCAACTGTCTCAGCCATACAGTTGTCTTAAAAAGTTATAATTGTGAACAAATGAAAATATGATTTGTGGTTTGTCACAAAAGACCTGTAGAAGTGGATGTTCGACAGAATACAAACAGGTTTCTGTCCATCCATTTTTATGTTAAATTCAGGAACAAATAATTTAGATATAATACTGAATAAGTTCTGATAAGTGCATGAATTTTCCTTAATACCTTCAGTCATTTAACATTGCAGGAATTAACTGATACAAAACTATAGTACAGAAGTATGAACAGGGTTTGGAGAAGGTTTGTGCCTCTGTTCAGTACCAGAGGATTTTCCGAAGGTGGAGGAGGGACCCCAGGATGGGTAACTCCACCAACGTGGTTCACATACAGGCTAAGCTAATTAGGCAGGTCTTTAAATAGCCTGGGGGTGACTAGAATCCCAGTAATAGTATCTTCTGCTTCACAGCTAGGTTCCTCTCCTTTGTTTCTGAACCCATTTCTTTACAAACTTTTCTTTAGGGACTTCATCCTTCTCTCTTCCTTTCCGTATTCTCTTGCCTTTGCAAAAAGTGTCAGGAAGGACTAGGGAGTCATTGTTCCACTCCCTGGGAGATCAGGGGACAGCTCAAAGGCCTTTTCAACCCACCCTCACTACCACCTTGATGGCCTGTCCCTCCCTCAGACTTCACCAGCACTCTTCACAGGCAAGGAGTCAGCATAGCTGCCCCATATCCTCTCAGTGGAGAACCACTGGCAAGTGGAGAGCTGTTTCAGATGCTGGGAAGAGAAGAAGAGAAGCCAATGATTGGGCTCTCAAGCAAGGCAAACTGCCATGCACAAGGTCCTGCAGAGGAGCTGCTTTCAAGCCACTGAGTCCTCTGTACCCAGATAGACAACACTGAAAAGATGCCTATGGGCTTTTTCACACCATTAACTATTGTATTACACAGGAGGCAAGCCCCCTTTAAGATCCTGCCCTGACTTCTTCATGACCATGTGCCATTCCTCAGCTTGGCTACTAGAGGGTTCCTCTCTGTCATAATTGCTGAAGGCCAGTTCTGTCTCTGACTCCCACCCCCAATTATTGCGGGGAATGAATTAAGAAGGTTCTTATAAAGACTTTTGGGTTGCAACTAGCCAGTGCCAGTAAAAGGCACCAGAAGCACAGAACCTCTCCAACCTCTTCCTTCCCTCCTGTCAAATGGTCTCATAGCACAGGTCACACACACACACGCATGCTGCAGAGCAGATCTTCCAGATGAATCAGGTCTGACCTCATCAAGCCTCTTGTTCCTCCATTACAGGCCAGGCCTCATTTTCAGCAGTTAAGTCCAAAAGTGCAAGTTTTGGATAGACATAGTCACAATTATGGAATTGTGGAAGTTTATTGTGATATTTCATGTTCTTGTGTTGTTATGCTAGGAAGGCAGAATATGAATTAGTAAAAGCATTTTATGGTCAGTTTAATAGTTATCTTATTATGTAAGTATTAAATTATGTGAATTTGCTTAGTCGTCTGTTTTCCTTATATTTGATTAGTGCTTGTGAAATTATTTTTCAGAGTTACTCAAGCAGTTCTGAAATAAAGAAGATTTGTAAAAGGTAGGCCTCTGTATTTGTAACAACACAACAGTATTCGACTATACTTGTTTTTAAAGTAGCTGTATCATAGTATATTTCTACACCTAATACAACAGCTGCTAATTTGTTTCCTTAGTCATATTTAACAAGTTATTTATGTTTCCTTGGAAGTTCACAAAACAAAGTTGCTTCTAATCATTGATCGTGTAGGCAATGGAAAATGAAATTTATTTTCTTTTCTGTAGACCATGTATCCTTATATTGGATTCCTTAAAGGCAAGTTCCATACAGAATACAGTTCAACTCTTGAGAGAGTGAGTAACAGTGTGCTTCATTTGATTCTGCATTTTAACAGATGCTGTCAACCTTCTTTTAGATCAACTGTATATGTGTTCCCAGGCCCGTAGCCGGGGGGGGGGGCATTTGGGGTAATCCCCCCCCCCGAAATGAGTGCTGCCCCCTCAGACAAATTTTTAAAAAAAATCTGGCGGGAAAAGCTTCTGTCTCTCTTTTCCCCCCTTTTTTCCCAGGCCCCCCCAAAAAAGGTTTTTAGAAATGCAAAAAATACACTTACAAAATGCAAAATAGAGAGAGTCAGAGATTCCCCCACCCCAACTTACACAGAAAAGCAGCCCAGAATCAAGTCTTTCAAGTCGAAAGGACTAGAGGAGGACTAGAGGTTGCAGTGGAGCTGGAGCTGCTTCTGCTGCTGCTGCAAGAGGAGCAGCAGGTGCAGCCAGCCCCCCCCCCCAGATTTCCCCATACCCCACCAACCAAAATTTTCTGGCTACGCCCCTGTGGGTGCCATGTATCAACATCGCTATTCTGGCTACGCCCCTGTGTGTGCCATGTATCAACATGTCTAGCTTACATTTTCATAATATGTAACTGTTGTCCTGCATTAATTATATATATAAAATATTTGTATGCTGCTTTTTATTATTATGCAAAATGCACTGTAAAGTTATTTTGATCTGTGTTTCAAATATCTGTGCAATAAACTTACAAGGTACACAAATGAACTTGCAAACTGGTTTATATTTATACAAATTACTCTTTAAGATGAAATAAAGTCCTGGCCATTTGTGAACATTTGACATAAGTTTTGTGGTATAAGAAAAGTTAAAATACCATGCTGTTAGCAAGCAATTGAATACCAAAGGGTTCAGGTCCCAGGTGCTTCCCTTTACAATTACGCCCTCCAATACCTTCATTTTTTATGCCAAAAATCTTCCCTTATGGGTCTCAGCAGCTGATTTCCATTTGCTAGTCAAGACAGATGCAATGGGAATAAACAGCTGAAGCATATTAGGGAAGACCTCAGCCAGATCCCTCTGATGCTGATTATACCAAAAAGTGGAAGAGTGCTTTGCCAGAATTTCAGTCCATGCTATAGTGAGTTAGTGGACCAAGCCAATATTTCTCGCCATTCAGCCCTTTTTCTGTTCAAAATATGACCCCTATTAAAATTCATTTGTTGATAAAGAGTCAGTACGCTCTGGAAGGCATTACAATATAACAAACTAACTGCCAATCACCAGAAGCCTGGATATCATGGGTCACATATGGAGAACTTTTACATATGGAACAAGGCCTTCAGGGCCTTTACTTTCAACAATTCTTCTGTCCCAGACATAGATGGGCCAGGAATGTGAGGCTCTGGCGTCAAAGAAAGAAAAAAAGACACAAGTAAGTGTGCATACACATTGCTTCTTCATCCCCAAGTGATGCTTTGGTTCCTAGCCACGGAAGTTCTGCCTTATGGAAGACCATGTCCGTATATCCAAATAGAGGGTAGGAGAACTGTTTATACAAGGAAAAATAAATGGCATTAATAAAGTTGTCAATAAATCTTATCCAGGTGTGTGTACTATTGCAGATATTTATTATGTCCATGTATCCACACAAAAATAACTGTATGCTATGATTTCAGATATTTAGAAGTGGAATGGGAAGCAAAACGCAAAACACGTCGTGTGTTCAGCAAATCAACAATGGTGGATTTCTGTCCAAGAGTCCCTAAACAAAATAACAGTAGTGATTGTGGAGTATATTTACTGCAGTATGTGGAGACTTTCTTCAAGGTGCAGAACATTTAAATATTTTTTTTTATTTTTCATTTTTTTATTCTGCCCTCTCCAAACAGGCTCAGGGTGGATCATAATAAACAGAGTCAAAGACTCATTACAATAAAATTACATTACATAAATTCATTAAAACAGTAAAATTTAGAGGTAGCAGCAATTTATATAAAAGAAAGACTGTTAGGGCTATTTAGAAGAAGTCAGAACTTTCAGTAGATTGGGAGCTAAAGCAGGGAGGCCAACTAAAATGGATGCCCGCCACCTCACCCAAAGACCTGACGGAACAAAAAATATACTTTTTGATTTATTCTTTCAATTTTTCTAGATAAAACTCTGAAATCCCCATCTTACCATAGGCAAATGGATGAACAAATGCTCAAATCAGATACATTTCTTATTGCCTACTTGGGGAAGATATAAATGAGATTATTAGGTATTCCCTTTTTTTGCCTTTTGATTCATTTCACCTTTGGGAACTGAAAGCAGGTGATAGCAGATGCTGCGATCCAGCAGACTTTTGTTTGTTTGTTAAAGTCTGCATACACCATGTGACTTTAGTCTGTTGCTGGGATGTCTAGGTTTTGTGATTTCAGAAGGTTCAGATTTATATTTATCTAAGATTTATATTTTGAATCCCTTTTCGGCCCTGTAGAGTCATAATTTTATGAAAAAGTATTTACCAAATGAACGCTGTTTAACAGTACGAATGCAGTAAATGTGTGGGGCCAACCCCAAGTAATCATTTATCACTTTGAATCGCTGTTTTTGTTCCAGATGGTAATGGCATCATAGGTGGTTCTGGTCACCAAGTTTATTATCGTAAGGAAATATAATGTAACACAGTCTCAGATTAGTTTCTCATAGAATTTTAGTGTTTTAAGCATCAGTATATACTCCAAATATTGACGATTTAGGTTTATTAAAATTTAAAGTAAACATTAGCTACCATTGTTTGAACTGTCTACTAATGCTCAAAATGTTCCTTAATATGCAGCATGCATGCGCCATAATAGTCCCACCAAGCCTCTCTGTCAAGCCTGCATTGTCTTGTCTTTTCCATAAGTCTCTCAATCACTACTTCTTGCGTCTGTGTGCCCGTGAGCACCACAGCCCTTTAACAAGCACTGTTTACATGTATTTGGAATTTGTTTAAAGTGAAATTTTATGCAGAGATAGCAATATTTTCCTGTTTTTTAAAAAAATTAATACAACATCATAATTTTTCCTTTAATCTGCAGGATCCTATTGTTAACTTTGAACTTCCATTGCACTTAGAGCGCTGGTTTCCTCGTCAGGTGGTGAAAAATAAGCGAGAAGAAATTAGAGACTTGATCTTGCAACTTCACTTGCAACAGCAGAGCGGTAGCAAGAGCTAGCTGGACTGTTCTTCCAATCTTGCAGAAGAAGATTTAACCTTTAAAACTACTGGAAATGCAATCAGAAACATTTCTGCCATCAGACTGGCAAAGAGAGGGGGGGAAACCTGCAGATATTTATAAATTGCATTTATGTAATTTTAAAGTCAATATTTATTATGATGCTTGATTGGATTTTGATTTGGCATGTAAGTGGCGTAAATGGGAATGTGCTACAAAGACAGGACATTTTAAAGCCCATTTTCCATCTTGCCAAATAGATCTGTAGCTCTTATTGCTCATCCTGCACAAGAGGGAAGCACTAAGATGCCATCTCAGAGATGCTTCCTGTGTGACATTTTTAAGTCTTACAAGTGCTGTAGAAATCATTCCCTTGCCTATATCAGTACCATGAAAAAGATTTATATTCCTAGTTACTGTGGAGTGAGGTATAAATGCTTCTGATATGCTTCTGGACTCTTGGCATACACAAGTTTTCCCAGAAGTCGGTACATATGAAAACTTTCCTATGTGGCTTTTTTGAACTCAAGAAAATCATGTGGAACTGGTCCTGTAATTTAGAAATGTAACACAAGAGGGGGCACTCAGGGTTTTTCCACGTCCATCTTGATCTCACAGACCAGATTTGGAGTCCTGATTTTTTTTTCCTGCTGTGCAGTAATTGTGTATAGTATGAATACTGTGTATTTTAATATATTTTAATAATATAAGGCCATATGGTCTTTACTGGATACAGTAGTAGCTTACACCTGACAAAATACCATCCTGTTTCAACTGTGGCATTTATTTTGAAGGTAAGGAAAGTCGAGTATTAGTTATTTAGTAATGTAGCTAAATTTTATGGAAAGAAAAAGCTCCTGTTTTAAAATAAACTTCTTACTCAGAAGACACATCATGTTCAGAGGCATATCGTGTTAGATCATGGATTTTTCTCTCCCTCTAAGTAGCCTCCAAAGACCCTAAAAAGCTAATGCTGTTATTTGGTGGAGCTTTGTGGACCAAATTCCGCAAGCTGCAATGGGATATCATATGGAGCGTGAATTGGGAAAAATCGATGCCCCTCCCCTTCCTTTCTTCCACTGCTGCAGCAAGGCTTCTGTTGGGAGAAGAAGGGCAATTTTGACCGATTCTCCTTCCTCACTGCAGCCTTCCCCCACCAGTAGCTCACAGCATTTTTGTCCACTGAGCTTCCTTGACCTCTGTCATTGGCTTTGGGGAGACTGAAGGAGGAGGAAGGCAGAGATCATAGGATCCAACCCAATGTGTATTGAAAAGTTGAATACTTGTGATTTTTATCCCAAGTATCAATACCTATAGGTAAAGCAGGAGAAATTCCACTGAAGCATATCTCTGTGGTGTGAAGTAGACCTGGAACAGAAGGCCAGATTGCTCTTGTACTTGATAAGCTAGAAGCACTGAATAAATAGATTTTTTTTTCCAGAGAATCTGTTTATTTTTCCCATGCATGTTCTTTCTGTGATTGCTAGTAGAAGGGATAATGGAACTCTTGGAGAAAGGATTTTTCATTTATTTGTTAGAAAGGTATTATTTCATCACTGCATTTTTTTTAAAAAAAATATCCCTTATATTAAAGCTATGCTGTAATATTATATGGCATTACTGTCCTGGACAAACACGTAAGAGCCAAAGGAACCCAAATGAAAACTGGTACCAGCCCAGAACTATTTGTTGTTTCCATTGGATGGTTTGTGCAACCACTCATTGGTTACAATAAGCCAGTGCTGCTTTCCTGGTATGTCCCAATTTTGGGGGGGGGGGGAGACACCTAACAGGATGCCGCATGCAGTGATGATGTAACATTGCTCAAGTCTTAAATGTCAAGCATCAGTGATTTTGAAAGTTCTGTGATTACAGCAAAACAGATGTGTGATTTTCAGATTTGATTCCGTTCAGATGCACATTTTTTCCTAAGCAGTAGCTCTACCTCTGTAGGAAAATTATGCATGAAGGGGCACTGTGTTCAGGGCCAAACTAGATGAGACAGCAGATGTGTCATCCAGTATGTTTTTAAAGAGATACTTGTATGCTTTCCCCATAGGGCAAAAAGCAGCTTTGGGAGAGGCAGGATTTAGTAGAATGTCAGATCTTCCAGGTTAAACTTAAAACAAAAAGTGGGAAATCCCATCATGGATCTGCCAACATCTCATTTACTTTGCACCTCATTTTAATGCAAAACTAAATGTGTCAAATATCATAAGAAGAGGGGAAAAGAGTTTAGCAATCATATTCCAATAGAGACCGAAGTCAGCATTGCCTCATATTTATGCTTGACATACATTTCTGACCCTAAGCCCTCTTCCTTCTTTGATTTACTGTTCTTGTTTCAGTTCAAAGCATTCCACTTCTGAATTGTTGTGTAGATTAAGAATTTTCCATTTAATATTCACACTTTGTGTATGTGTTTACCTTGACCTAAATACATTTGGTTCTTACCCAGATGCTTATTCTGTTCCTTAAAATCCTCATGCTATGAAGTTGCTTGTCAGCTGTCTACCTCCTACATATTACTGTCTGATGGCCCAGCAGTGTGAATACTACACCAGAGGACAACAACTACAAGAGTCCTAACATAGAGTTAATAAAGTCTGATGAGCAACTCCCTGGTGTGGAAGTCTTAAGTTTGCTCAGTGAGAATTTGATAACCTCTGCTGTCCATATAAAAGCCTTTTATTATTGAAAGCAATGGTAACATTGATATGCAGTGTCACCCGAAAACAATATGCCATTCAAATGATTGTCATAAATTTATGATGTTTCTTTTTCAGCATAAAATTCTTTGGCCTGTTTCATCCATGTCTTTTTAAAGTAAAAAGAGTGAGTAATATTAGGAATTGGACTATTTATTTACTGCATTTCTATCTTGTCTGTCCTCCAAATAGTTTGGGGTAGCAAACACAGTGTCCTGTCTTCTCCCCACATCTTTATTCTCATATCCACCCCAGTGCACTAGGCCAGGATAATGAACATCATGCTTCAGCTACCACATAACAGTAGCATTTTGCCACATGAATCTTATACTATGACTTGTAAGAAACTTTTCCTTATAAAATAATAATGAAAATATGGTTTGAGAGCATCATGTGCTTGATATTAAAAATATCATGGGCATGGTCTGCCCACTGCATAAGCAGATCTTTGCATGAAAAATTTCCTTAAACTCAAGAGCCTTGTCCTCTCTCTACTGACTACCATGTTCATGTAGTGCTGGGGGAAATGGGAAGATGCTGTACTATGCTCCAGAACATGGATATTCTGTCATTTCACAGAGAGAATTAAATTTACTTATGTGGGTCCTGAAGAAATGTTATGACACCATCCAGCTTGCTTAAGGCAGCAACCTGTTGATTATTACATAAACTATACTTCAGGAGCCTTTCTGAACAGTATGCTAGATACAAGTACTCTGAGATATAGCCTAAGGGTTGGATTCAGCAGTTATTTAGCACAATGTGCTTCTAGTCTTTGTTGCATCCCATTCATTCAACAGTACCTACATACTCTAAGAAAAATTGATTCCCGGTGTTATGGGACCTGCAAGAATTAATAGCCATGTTCTTTGGTGAGCTGCAGTGACAAATGGGAAAAAGACAAAATTGCCTCTCTTCTCAGAGGTGTGATCCCACCTCTTCCTCCTCCTCACAGTAGCCCTGCAACCTGCAGTTCCAAGAATTGCCTTTCCTGGGGTTGAAAGGAACTGCTGTGTGTGTGTGGAGGGGGAATAAAGAAAAGATCTGTGATCCTTATGTCTATAAGTTACTGGATACAAACCATAGGCCTTGCCACCCGGGCAGGAAAACGCGGGGGCGAGGCATGGCTGTTTGCCCCGGAGCAAACTAACGTGCGACTGCGCGATCAGGCGTCGGGTTGAGGTCCCGTCGAGTTCCCGTGGTTAGGGGGGAGGTGCCAATCACACGACACGGCAAAGAAGCGGAGCGGCGCGGCAAATGGGGTTGTGTTTGTTTTTTTAACTGAAATGTGCGCATGCTCTGTTGGGTGCTTGTGCGCATCCATGGAGACTTGGGGGGGGGAACCTTTTTGCGAGGGGACATGGGCGGGCACCGGAACTACCACCGGAAATGCGATCAGACACCCGCCCTTGCCCCGCGGTTTCCGGAAACTAGTACCTCCGAGGTACTAGTTTTTTACCCCGCATCTTCGGCAGGAAGCCTTAGGTGCGCCACGGGAGCTCTACGCTTCCCAGATGTGGCGGTGAGATCGCACCCAGAAAATCCGCCTATCTTCCATCTCTCTAGCATGCCTAATGCTCCGTGTGACCGGGGCCACTGTTGGCTATTCAGTTGTGTGCTGATTTTGAAGGTCTATCTTTAATTGACAAAGACCTTGTATTACAGCAAATTCCAATTTGATTTGCCTGTCCTGGAAAGCTAGATCAATACTTTTTCATAGCATAATGCATTGGTAATGTAAAACCCATAATGCATAGCTGATCCACCAAGTCTTTCAGCTTTCTCTCCAGTCTGTGCTGCTGCCATGTTGTCATCTGTAAGCTGGTTGTTGCAGGACAGAATGGTGGGGAGTTCTAAATGCTCCAGATATGGCAAACACATTACATTGGTTTGGATCCAGCAGAAGACTGCTTGTAGTAGAGCTCTTGCAGAAGCGTGAAGAATGACCTCCTCTGGCTGCTTGTGCTAAATCAAAACTATTGTACCCCACTTAGTTTTCCTCTTGTGCAAAACATTGCACAAGCAATTCCAGGAGCATTTCCCATTCAGTTTTTGGTGAACAGTGTGATGTGCTCCATATTACAAATATTAATCATGTCCCTTAGAATCATTTTTCTAGAACACATCCTTTCCTTAAATATATTCCTTTAATGAGATCCCATTCAGGGATAAATTAATATTGGAAATGTATGTTGAAGTTGTTTGGTGTGCAATCAATTCCTGTTTGCAGTACAGTTTTTGCAACGGATTGGTTCTTAGCATCATGTTACCAGAAAAATTTGTCTATGATCTGAAAGGACAAGTTTCAAGAAAGGACCCAACAATTTCATTGTAATCAAAGTGGCTCCTGGAGGAACAAGATGGGAGAGTGAATGAATTGCTGTACTTCTTTAGGCTATGAAATCAAGCTCTGGGGAAAAGCTAACGAGAAGCTCCCCTCAAAGGTACACTGGGCCAGGATAATGAACATCATGCTTGGTCAAAGGTACCAGTTTGCAAAGCATGATCCTTTTATCTTCAAGGGAAGTCATTCTCAACAATACCATCTCTGATAATTGCTGCCACATCACGTTCTTGCCTTCTAGAATGAATTTGCCTTTCAGGAAGTTGTGAGGATACATTGTCAATATATGATTCATCTCTAGGAACTGGTATAAAATTATGAATAGCCATGTGA